TGGATAGGTATTCTTCAAACATTTCAAAGACCTACAGAATATGGCATTTAAAATATTCCAGTGACAGACTTTTCTCGACAATGAGGTATGCCTGCTCCTTGCAGAACCATTTACTTCAGAGAGGTTGATGGGCATTGAAGAAACTTGTTACAGAATTTGCCTTCAATGTGACAAGGCAAGTCATTTGGACAGGAAACTGCTCTTGCCTGAACTGCTTGATGGTATGCTGTATGAACTGAACACACAGGACCCATAGATTCAGGACTTGCTTACAGTTCAGAAACTGAGGCAGGGACCATGGTAGCAGGCAGGCAGCAGGCAACATGGTGCTGGAGCAGTAGCTGCAAGATTACATGTAGAGTCTACAACCACAAGGTGGGGGGTATGAGAAGGCTAATTGAGAATCTAACGGGCTTTTGAAACCTCAAGTGTCCACTCTCACTGACACACTGCCTTCAACAAGGCCACACTGTCACTTTATCCCTCCTGCTGTCTCCTCATTGATCTTTTTATACTCCCCAAATAGTCTCCTTTCTGCCTTCTATATTCCATATAGTCTTGCTTTTAGTTTCATCTGGCACACACAACATGTATGTGAATATATATAAACAATAATTTATATATAAATATACATGACACATGAAATAAAATATTTTGTCTTTCCCCCATTACCCTCTCCTTTACCCTTCTCCCTGTCTATAAACCTCTTCATTGCCCCTCATATTCCCTATTACACTTTCATGTCAGAGGGACTTTTACATTTCAATCCTTATTCCACATGTTAGGAAACAGTCCTTGCCTTTCTGAGTCTGGTGATGACCATCTCCTTTTCTTCTCTCATGATTACTGAATGAACCAGTGGTGATTAGTTCATGCTGTCAAGTTTATACAACCTGGAGTCACTTGGGAAGAGGGAACCTCAACTGAAAAACTGCCTCCATCAGACTGGCCCGCGGTTTTGTCTGTGAGATATTTCCTTGATTATGGAGGGGGAAGGGCCCAAGTCATTAAGGACAGTCACATCCGTAGGCAGGTGGACCCTAGACAGCTATAAGACAGCTGGCTAAACATGAGTCAGTGAGCAAGCTGAGGCCACAGTGCTCTTTGGTCTCTGCTTCAGTTCTTGGAAGTTCTTGCTGTGATATCCTTCAACACTGGGCTGTGACCAGAAGGATCAATAATATAACCCCTTTTTTTCCTGAAGCTGCTTTTGGTCAGAGTGTTTTATTATGCAAAATCAACAAGAATAAACATAATCTTATAAACTGTGAGAAATAAATAACAGGTGATGATTATATAATGTTATTGTATACTACATACATGTGACTAAGTTCTATTTTTCTTAGTATCCAAATAATTTTCTTACATTATATGTCTCAGGGTTTCTACTGCTGAGATAAAATACTGTGACCAAAAGCAACTTTGGAAAAAGGGATTTCCATCATCTTACTGCTCTCAGGTCACATTTCTTTGTTGAGAGAAGTTAGCACAGGAACCTGACAGGAACTGAAGCAGAGGCTATGGAGGAATACTCCCCACAGTTTGCTCAACCTGCTTTCTTATATATCCTGGAACCATGTGCCCAAGTGTGGCACTGCCCTCAGTAAGTTGGCTATATCAATCTTTAATCAACACAATGCCCTATTAATCAACATAATACCCTACAAAACTGACATGCCTACCAGCAATCTGACAGAAGCATTTCTTCAACCGAGGTTCTTCCTGGTAACTCTACCCTGTGTCAAGGTGACAATCTACCCTGTGTCAAGGTGACAAAATCTAAGTACCACACTACAGAAAACAAGAAGAAATAGACTCTTTTGAACATCTGTGACGTTCCAGTGCATGATTTCTAACGTCTGAGAAGTCTTTGAAGCTAAATGATTTCTGAGACTGTTCTGCCAAGCAGGAAGTGTAACAACATCACTGGGCCAAAATGAGTTACATTGCTGAACAACTTAGATGATGTTCTTTTTCTTTTTATTTTATTGATTTTTATTGATCTCTACATTTTTCTCTGTTCCCCTCCCTGCTTCTCCCCTCCCCTCTTCAACCTTCTCCCAAGGTCCCCATGCTCCTAATTTACTCAGGAGATCTTGTCTTTTTTCTACTTCCCATGTAGATTAGATCTATGTAAGTCTCTCTTAGCAAAGAAAACCAGTCTACAAACCACAATGCCAGAGAACTTAGACAATAATGAGGACACTAGATGATATTCTTATATTTAAAAATTGAGTGATATTTCTTCAGAATACATGGCTTTATGAACATGCATTGATATGATGAAATTGAAATTGAATATATTACCTAACTTTTATGTTTTTATCAATATATGTAGACTCAGATATAAATAAGCTATAGTAATATATTATGAAAAGTACAGGGGTATTATATTGTTGAGGTACAGATTTCAGTTGACATGAGTATTCCTCAAAGATATGGATAAATATTTAGTGGATTTTTGAGTTGGGTACTATTTTGTTTACAACTGCTTCTGAGAGTAGGGAAAAAGAAGTTGGGAAAAGTTAAAAGAAAGAGAATATACAGATTTCATCCTCTGGCTTTGCCTTCATAAATATTTTTTATTTTTTAAAATCTCTCCTCTCTTTCTCCTTCCCTCTCTCACTCCCTTCCCTTCCTCCCTTCCCCCTCCCTCACTCCCTCACTCCCCTCCCTCCATCTCTCTCTATGTGTATGTACACATGTGTGCACGAATGCCATAATACATGTGTAATAATCAGAGTCCAGGTCTTAGGAGTTGGGTCTCTCCTTCTATCACAATAGTCCTAAGAATCAAAATCATCTCATCAGGCTTGTTACGGACATTACCCAGGGTGTTATCTCACTTGCCCTACAAACACGCCTCTTTAGTTTCTTTATCTGTCTAAAGACTAGGAACTTCATTTTGTAATGATTTAAAATGTTTCCCAAACTTACCAGCACATTGGAACCAGTTAACAATCTTCAAATAAAACTGATGCTTCTAGTTCACCTCAAAAATTATAGTAACATTGGTTTGGAATACTTGAACTTGGAATTTTTATAGGACCTCTTTGTTAAAATGTAAATAGTTGCTCAGGCTCAGAAAACAATTCTGCAAACTATACCATTTTGCAATTCAAAGAACTTTGATATAAAGAACATTAGAACACCCAAGAAACAGGCTCAGAGACAAGGCTTCCTTCACCTTTCTTTCCTGTCTATTGCTCTTTATCTTTTCCCAAGTAATGACAAACATTAGTTCACATGTGGTGGTTTCAGTGAGAAATGTCCCTCATACTATTGGATTGGTGTCACTGTTTGGTGAGGTTTCAGTGGCTTTCTCCTTTCTGGAGTAAGTTATGTCACTATGGGTGGACTCTGAGAGTTGAAACCTCACTCACTCTCTGCTATGTACTTGAAGTTCAAGATGAAATCTGTTTCCTGTTCCTGCTGCCATGCATGCCTGCTGTCAGCTGGCACGCTGTACCAACCATTATGGATTCCAATGCTCTGGAAGCATAAACAAAATTAAACTATTTCTTCTACAAGTTGCTTTGATTATGGTATTTTATCAAGTGATAGAAAAGTAGTTAATACAGACCCTTTCCTCCAAAGCAAAACACAAAATGTATATGCCCTGTCATGACATGGGCTCATCTACCATGGTTAGAAAGAAAAGACCCCCAGTCCATAAAGGACCCACTCTGACCAGGAAAAAGGCTTAGAACACCCTGAAGAGAATGACATCATTGGATCTCTCCCTCTTGGCCCTTTGCTCTTATTTTGGACATTATATAGTTATACTTCTTTTTATCTACACGTCTATATAACTGTCCATTTCTCATCGAAGCTAAGCATAAAAATGGACACTTTTCTCCAATTCTTTAGGCTTTCATTCATGTCCAACTGTCATGTAAAACTTTGAAAAATAAATGACCTATTTTTCTCTAATACATCTCCTGTTACAAGAAAGTAAGCCATGATACTTAAGGGGGTGAGGAAGGTATCCCCTCCCCTACCTGACCTCCACAGAAGTTCCCACTATGTTTTAAGGTCATTTTCATTTCTATGTTTATAGCAAAAAAATATATCCCTAGTCATCCCATATCTAAAATAGAATACTGCAGAAGAGATTAGAGAAAACAAAACAAACTAGAGAAAATAAATAGAGAAGGTATATACTATTATGAAACAAGGCAAAAATTTTAAAACCATGGTGAAGTGGACAAATTGTTAGTAACTCTAACAGGGAACTTTTGCACAGGTCTAAGTAAGATGTGCTGTCATTCCTTTGCCTCTGTGCTTCAAATGAATACATGAGTGTACAGCCTGGTGTAAGACCATGAAATGTACAGACTTCTAGTACTCGCTTCTTTATATTCAATGGAGCTAAACGACTCAAGAATACAAATCTGTGCAACTCTTAAGTAAATTTGAACTTCCATCCAGTTAAAGTTTGTACAATGACTTTCCATAATACACACATGAAATAATTAGTGAAGATGGTTCTTAATTTAAAGGCTGTTAAACAGCTTGTAGACATCTGGTAACAAGCTGAAATGGGTCATTCAAAATTTATTTAACTAAATTAAGGGGGAAAAATGTTTCTCCTCCCAGGTTGGCATGTCACAAGATAACTAAACCGACTTAGTAGGCTTGCTTGGGAATCCTTAGCTGTCAGTGGTGAATATGCAAAGGGCCAGCAAATTAAATCAACCTGCCAAACTGTCAATTTCAAGCCTCATGACTGCAGGAAAATAGCATCACTGGAAGAAATCAAGCATTGCCTTCTTTTGGGTTTCCTGGCACCTATTCAAATACTCATGCAGTTGTGGCTAATTTTGCATGCAAATTTCAGTCAATAAGCTCAGAACAAGACCTCCCAAGATATTTCAAAGGCTCTGACAGTATTTTTTCTGAATACCAAATCGACAGTAGTTGAAATTCAATCTCAATTTGCCAGTGCTTTACATATGCACACTGTCCCCACCACAGAGCGAAGTTAATGAGAGCCTTACCTGCCTTCACTCACATCCTCCCAGCCGTCCTTGCTGAGGTTCTCAACGTGGCTCATAACCTTGATGGAGTGATTGAGAAGCGTGTGGTGGCGACCCACAGAGATCTTTTTCTTGGCAGCTTTAAATTTCACCTTGGTAGTGGTTGTCTTGCAGTCACACGGCCGGGCTCTCACCTCTCTGGTGACCATCTCAGATTTAGCTTTGTCAGTGGGATGGTGGCGCTTCTCGCCTGGACTCACCGCCTCTTCACTGTCGTTTCTCAAAGCCTTGGCCTCTGCCACTTGTCTCCTCAGGGTAGTGACTTCCCTCTCCAGCTCAGTGATTTTGACTTGAAGTTCACCTTTGTCATTTTCTACATCTTTACTCACCTTCAGTAGGTGCTCCAGCTCCTTTTCTCTCACTTCAGAATCTTCTTGATAGTGTTTTAAATGGGATTTCAGGAAATCATTTTCTTTCTTTAATTTTTTATTCCCCTCTTTTAATTTTCTTGACTTTTGCTCAAAAGATTTTAGTCGATTTTCCAACTCAATGACCTAAGCAAGAAGGAATAATTTATTCCTTTAAAATTTAAGAGCATAATCTACTTTATTTCTAATTATCATCTCTAACTGAGGAAGAAAGTTACATTTAGTACAAGGACAAAATGAATCTAAAGCACTTAATTCCTAAATATTTCTAAGGTGATGTAGATGAATACATTCAGAAATGCAATAATGCATCTGTTGAACAAAGGACAGATGGCAAAAGAAGTTAAAATCCTATGCAAAGTGATACAGAACTAAGGATGCCAATGAGCTGCAGAGTTCTCTAAGAGTGTAGGTGCTTTCGTTATATGGTCTCACTGTGAGAAGAAATATTTTCAGAAAATCAACTGTTTATAGAAATAGCCTAAAACAGGTTCATGGAGAAACTATCAGCAAATACTTGAGAAACACATTAAAAAGTGCTGACAAGATAAATAACCTGAAACAGTTTAATTTCTAAATTAGAAGTATCTTTTTAACTTTCATGGCATTCTTATTTCACAAAATAAAATCTTTTTCCAAAAAATAATGTTCAACAATCTAAAATGATAAGAATTTGAAGGTTGCTTATAAGTAAAACATTTCCATTTATTTCAATGAATATTGCTCCTGTTGTAGGATACAGTGATGATCAAATACAACGATGGCCCTATGTTTCGGCAGTCACTGGAAAGACATATACTTGCACATCTTAAAGTAATGCATGATAGGATATAAACACTGTAGGTCTAAACACCAAGGACAAAATTATTATTACTGTTACAAAAGGAAGTTTGGATTTAGAACTTGTAAAATGACAAGAGTTGTTATTTGAAACATAATATTTAACTATTTTTCAAAATAATTTTATAAGTGTAATTGAAACAGAAACTCCAAAACGGCTTTTGCAAAGAATCACTGACTCTTCATTTGAGTCCACAAGACAACTAAAAGCAGAACAGCCGGACATCTATGTATTTGTTTTCAATTTGTGTGCTGGCTCAAGAAACACATGGTTATTGTCTCTAATCTTACATATTGAATCATCTAGAATTCCACAAAGAGCCATAAGGTCAGATACCTCTACACCTCCAAATGAGAATAGCTATCCATGAGGCCAAAAAGCTGCATTCTCAGGGAGCAACAGATTAACAATATAACACTTTATTGGACCACCCTGATGATGGCTCTGAGCTGACATAAAAATGGGCAGACCACACCTTGCCCAAGACTGCTCAATTCACACCTCTGTTTTAAACTAAACCTAGAGCTCCTGTCAGTCCATGTATTATGAACTCCAGTGGAAAGCTGGCCCTGATGCCCTTTATTATTCCTTTCAGTGATATGTCTTTGGGGCTGGTCAGAGAGCTCAGTCAGTAAAGTACCCAACTCCAGTACAAAGATCTGAGCTTGATCCCCAGAACTTACATACAAAAGGCAGCGTGTTCTAGAGCTGGGGAGGCCAGGACAGGTAGACTCCTGCATCTCACAGACCAGCTAGCCAAGGCTACTTGACAGGTGAGTGAATTATTCCAGACCAGAAAAAAAAGAAAAGAAAAGAAAGAAATGATGGTTTGTGCCTTAGGTGGTATCAGATTTCCACAAGTATGCATATGCACACACCACACCATACATATAGGAATATACACACGCAAGAAGGAAATTCAGATGTGTTTAATGTTGGAGGCTCCTGAACCTAGTTACTCAGGACATAAAGGACAGAATGCTGCAAGGCCAAGGCCAGCCTGGGCTACAGAATGAGTTCAAACCCAGCCTGTGCAGTTCAACCTTGAAACCATTAACATTGAACCTGATAATGTATTTTGTAAGAAAAAATATATTGAGACAAATGCTACAATTTGAAAGCAGCATTTACTATCAGTGATAGTAGTGCTGTATTGTGACTACATGTTGACATAGACTGTCCTATTAAAACACAGAAAACCATACTAAATATACATAAACTCTATATATACTTTTTAAAAATAAAGATATGCATATATGGCTGGACAAATAGATTGTTGGTAAGTAACTTGCCTAGGATGCATAAAACCCCTACATAAATCTAAATATAAAGCTAATATGAAAAAGTAAGAAATTAACTTGCTAATTGGATTCAAATTCAATGAAAATCATTACTGTTCTTTTTCTGGGCCTAAATGCATTTCTGGACCCATAATGTTAGTTGTCAGTTGTAGAGGGTAGATAGAAGTCATAGTTTCCGTAGGCTTTCCCTTCTAGAGGACTAGTTATATACCATGAATCTATACAAACAAAATTATACGAAACAGTGAGGAAAATACTATCTTGAAACAAAGCTGATGCATTAATACAAAGTGTAAAGTTTCCCAGATGATGGTACATTGAGGGCATCAATGTTTCACCTTCCATCAAGATGAACGAATGTGAGCCTGTCTCAGTCTCTTCCCTATTATGTTCACCTGGTACGTGTCATTCAGTAGCAGTGAGGTGACATCCTTTGTTACAAGACAGTGGCAAGACTAGGAAAAGTCGCTATAAGTCTATCCACAGGTACAGGAAATAAAAGCAGTAAAGTGAAATTGCTTATACATGTTTGCATGTTCAGTTTTGCTTATGAAACGATGCTTTAGTAATACCGAAGACTAATCCAGAGTAGCTAGAAAACAGTCAGAGAGCCCATTACTGAAAGATAAATCTTAAATAATATGGCTAGTAAATGTTTTCGAACCTGACAATACATTTCGTAAAAAGAAATAAGTTAATATGCATACTAAAATTTGAAAGCAGCATTTTACTATCAATGAGACTACTGCTGTATTGTGTCAACAGGCTCACATGGACTGTCCTACATAATACAGAAAACTACACTAAATCATAGGGTAATTTTTGACAATAAGTCACACATATTTAAATTATGAAGACATTGCCATTTTACTCTGGCAGAGCTATGAATAGGAACAGCAATCTGTGCCTGTTGCAGATCAGGGGCTTCTGACCCACTTGTAACTTGAACTGCTCACTTATAACTAAGAGGCACATATACTCTAAATTTTGTTAACTTTTCTTCTTTTCATTTCTCCTCTCCATCTATAAAAATATTTTTAATCTATGTCCAAGGAAGCACAAATGTTTACCCATTTATTTTTCTAACATTGATTTTGTTAACCCATTTTGGCAAGCCAATGATTTTGAATTATGAATTTAAATCAAGAATTCACACAAGGTTTAAGTTCATGAGCTCTCGTTTTAAAATATAATCCTTTATGTTAAAATTCAGATTTAACTTGCTCAGCTCAATATCTTAAAGATTGGACTACCTTCTGTAATGTCTGCTCCGGTATTGCTTTCTCATTCTTCTCTGGAGTACTCTTCTTGACCCCAGCATCTTCATGGTGTCTAAAGAGTTGTTCTGGAAGCAAATGAATAATATATTAGGGTATATCATATATTGCTGAGACACTGTACTATCATTTTAAGAGGAAAGGTTTTGTGGTTTTTCAATTATGAATAATCTAGTCTACTCTCCTGCCAAGTATTTGACCAGAACAAAATGGTGACCTCTCTTAAGGGCTTTTTTTTGGTCACATAGTTACATATCTTTATAGTGTCATAGTTTTTTCCTGCAGTGTTAAGATTTTCAAAGGTACAATAGATCTGCAGGCTAACAATGCGATACTTTCATTCCCATGTTCATGCTTTTGTAGACTATTCTGCCTTTACCTTAAAAGCAGAATTCATTGCCGTTTTATCTACAGCGACTACCAGTTTTGTTCTGCTGATCCTGTTCCCTGCCATGAGGATCAGAGTGATCACTGAACAAAGCAAACAGTAATGGAATTAGAGACTGAAACCATAACAGTGCATGAACCTTTCCTTCCACGAAAAGACTGTGCACAGGCAGGTTAGCCATAAAAGCCTCAAAGCTAGAGGAGCTGCAGCTTCACTTTCTAAGAAGTGGGTGAAGTTGTTTGACAAATCACTCCTGCGTAGGCTGACAACTAACTACCACAGCTTCTCGGTGCAGCCAAAACCTGTAAGCAAGTTACCAAATTCAGGGAAACATTGTCACATTTTTCATTAATATTAAAATTCATTGAAACCTATAACTAACTATTTTATTTACAGATAAGTTAAAGGGATGAAGTTACCATCTTTTAGTGAATTCCTTAACTGTCTCTTAAGTATAATGTTGCTAAAGAACAAAGCAGGGATCAGAAAAGTGTATGACACTAAGAGAGTATGCATCTGTGCCAGCTTGCTTTTGCTTTAAAGTCAGCTTGACTGCTGTAGGTCAGTGTAAACTTTGATTTATCAACAAAGGAAGAGAAAACAATATTATTCTCTGTAGAGTAGAAATCCTCCTGATAAAAACAGCGACTAACAAGTTTGTTAGAGTGAATTAGGCATTTCTTTTGTCTTTGAAACATGACATACTCAATTAAAACTTCTGTGCTCATGAAATAAATAGAACACTGTCCTAAGAATAATAAAAGCTAGAATAGGTAGAATTTGCCTCTTGGGGAACATGTACCTTTACCTTGATAATACTCTATCAGCTCCCAAGCTTCTTTTTCTAGTCCCCTAACACCACGGTGCTGAATTCATTTACAGCACTCTTCAGCAATATAGAAATAATATGCAAATATAATTCATCTGCTCTAGTCATTTAAATATCTCCTATAGCTCTGAGTGAAATGTTTGTCCTTAAAACTAAGATAATAGTAAAATATTCACATACATAGAGTACTAATGACATCTATATATTGCTAATAAAATTAACACTGAAGAATGATTTTTAAAAAAATTTCCTTGCTGTATATTTTGTCCCAGGTATCTGCAAGAAATGCTGGACAGACTAGCTGAACATGTGCACTTGTGAGTGTCACTAGGTTAGCATGTGCACCTGTGGGTGTCGCTAGTTGAGCATGTGCACCTGTAGGTGTCGCTAGGTTAGCATGTGCACCTGTGGGTGTCGCTAGCTGAGCATGTGCACCTGTGGGTGTCACAAGCTGAACATGTGCACCTGTGGGTGTCGCTAGGTGAGCATGTGCACCTGTGGGTGTCGCTAGCTGAGCATGTGTACCTGTGGGTGTCACGAGCTGAACATGTGCACCTGTGGGTGTTGCTAGCTGAGCATGTGCACCTGTGGGTGTCACAAGCTGCTAGGTGAGCATGTGCACCTGTGAGTGTCGCTAGCTGAGCATGTGCACCTGTGGGTGTTGCTAGGTGAGCATGTGCACCTGTAGGTGTTGCAAGGTGAGTATGTGCACCTGTGGGTGTCGTTAGCTGAGTATGTGCACCTCTGGTTATCATTAGCTGAGCATGTGCACCTGTGGCTGTCACTACGTGAGCATGTGCACCTGTGGGTGTCACCCAGAAAGATTTTTCTGGCCTATATAGCTTCTATAAGTATACTGAAACAGCTAGGCTCAGACTATGTAGTGAAACAAGGAATATACTCTTTGCCACTTCAGTTCAAACATCTCAGGATGTGCAGATGTAGGCAAGAGGGCCTCGTTAAGAAAATGACATTTCTTCTCTCTCTTTCTCTCTCTTGACAAGTGTGCTTTTTTCTACAAGACTTATATGGTTGAAATACTTTAACTTTTACTAGCATTAAAATTCTTCTGGGTTTTGTTCCTTCTTTTTTAGAAATTTTTCTTTTTCTGTTTTTAAACATTAACTTTTTAAATAATTGGTTAAAATTAGTTTGATTTTATTTTTGTTTCATTTCCTTTTAATCTTCTTGGTTTACCATGGTGGTAAAGGGATTTTCTCCCGCTTTCTTGGAGTCTAAGTGCACTGAAATAAATGGGAATTTGTAGGGGAAAATGCATACCACACAGACTATGAAAATTGCAGAAGTGCCAGATGGTCCAGGCTGCAGTATCCTCAGCAATAGGAAAAGTGAGATGGAGCAAGGGATTGAGGACCTTTTTTAGGGGTAGAAAATGACCTTTAGGGAAAGTGAGTGAGTCTGATGGAGAGACCATGCCAGGAACAGAGGTGAACACAGAAACTGCAGTAGCATTGAAGGTTGTCTTTCCATGTCCAAGACTCATCAGAACAGGTATCTTTAAAGAGAATTGTCAAATACCTTTAAGCCTGTTTTTCTATGAGTTAATCCTTGGTTACTGGGATTTTAGAGAGGGATCAAAGTCACAAAAGGTAATCTGCACAGCTTCCTGAGCCTGATAGCAACATACAAAGGAAGGTCAGAAATGACCAGGTTCTAAGGAGGCTGAAAGACTCCCCAGTTTCCCCTATTTCAAATTACTCAGCATAGCTGGGGTACAGGGTGTTCAGGACTCAGGGGTTGGGGAAGAAAGATTCTGAATTCCAGGTCATCCTGGACTGCACAGAAAGATTCTGTCCCATGTCAAAGTGTGATTAGTTTGGGTTATTAGTTTCCAAGCCCCAACATTCCATTGGATAATTAATCTAAATGATTCTGCAACTTTTTACTGTTAATTATCTTATTATTCTTTTATATTCTCAATTTAATTATAGTAACATTATTTTTAAAACCTATCATATTTTTGTGATTTTTTTCCATTTTAATATTTAACAAAACAAACATAAAAAACAGTTTCATGTTTGTTTTAATAATTAAATTATTTTTTATAAATTGTGAACATAATTTACCATTTTTAATTTGATTTCCACTAGTTTTATTTGAAATACTTAATAGCAAAACACAACTCCAATCATCCTAAATTAGGGCTATCATTTTACAAAATTAATTTGCTATTAAATATAAATATAGTCATTTAGCATTCAATAGGTTGTATTTTACATTATTTAATGACATAATACATTTTATTTCCCCCAAATGCAAAAGAGAATATGGAAAAGTGTTAGTGCAAACTACATTGAGCCAAATGAAACAACCTTACTCTTGAATTGACATGCCAATTTTTGCACTATCCTAAGGATATCAATGGCTAATATTAAAATCTCACCAAGGCCAGCTGGCCTAGGTCTGAAAAAGCATGGGATAAATCCGGACTAGCTGAACATAGCGGACAATGAGGAATACTGAGAATTCAAGAACAATTGCAGTGGGTTTTTGATCCTATTGCACGTACTGGCTTTGTGGGAGCCTAGGCAGTTTGAATGCTCACCTTAGGAGACCTGGATAGAGGTGGGCAGTCCTTGGGCTTCCCACAGGTCAGGGAACCCTGATTGCTCTTCGAGCAGATGAGGGGGGGTGGACTTGATCGGGGGAGGGGGAGGGAAATGGGAAGCGGTTGTGGGGACGAGGCAGAAATCCTTAATAAATAAATAGATTTAAAAAAAAAACTTACCTTACTTCTTCTATTCTTTGGATTTTTATTGATAAATGATAACTATGTTTTACTGATTATATTTCTTGATCTGTGATTCAATTTAAAACAAACAAAAATACTACAAAAATATAATTTAGTAGAAATTAACTGATTGCATTCATTTTAGTAACTGAAGACATATTTTTCTGTGATTTCAATTCATTACATACTAATTCTGTATGATACATTTTAGTGCACATAACATTTATTCATTTTAGTTTGTGTATAGGATAAGTAATTCAGCTCAATCAGATTGAACATGATAGTTTTATCTTGCCTGTATACTTATTCTCAACGTCGCAGATACTTCTTTCAAATCAAATTATTCATTAAATGGCTCTTCCACTATTTTTGATTGCTACTTTTGAATATATTTCTTAATTATACCACATTACTTTGTTTATTTTTTCTCCTTTTCTTTTTCTAATTGAAAAGATCCTTCTCTCATACAATGCATCAACCATAGCTTTCCCTCCCTCCACTCCTCTTAGTTCCCCTCCACCTCCCTTCCCCCATCCACCAGCATCTATTTCCTCTTCAGAAAAGAGTAGGCCTTCAAGAGACAGCAATTAATCGGCACAAAAATAGATACAGCGAGTCAGGACAAAATAAGAACTTGTGGGAGTAGCCAAGCAGTTTTTCTGATTTTTAAAAAGTTCTCCTTTAGGTATACATACTCAGCATAGTCCCTTCATAAATCCTCCCTGTTGTTGTTGCTTTCTGCTTCTGTCAATCCCTTTAGCCCTCAGATAATTTTATTTCTATCTACATGTCACAAACACACGTATATAAAATACAGAGCCACAAATTAATAAAAACATGATATTGCCTAAGGCAGGCCTAATTTACTTAATGTTATCTCATTTTTCCTATGTTCCTGAAAAGAGCATAGCTTTATTCTTAAGGCTGAAAAAAATCCATTGTGCATATATACCACATTTGTCCACCAATCCTCTGATGTTGGATACTTAGGTTGGTTCCATAACTCAGCTACTGTACACAATGCTACAATAAGCATCAATATACAAGAAACCAATGTGCAATGTAAGATATTGATTTGGAATTGTTAACTCTCAAGTTTTTCCTTTTCTTCTTAATTTGGTTCTTTATGATTGCTTGAATGTTTATCTATGTATGTTTTTGTTTTCAAAACAATATAGTTACTTTTAACAATAAAACAAGAAGACTATTCAGGGTCCCAATTGTTAAGAAAGAAGTGGGAATATGTTTCAATCGAAGAGAGAGAAAAGTTCCTGGCAAGAGAAGAAAACTGAAAACAAAAAACCATGTCTCAGAAGCCAATGAAGGGGTAAACTCATATTTTGGTGAAAACTAAACGTATAAAGTAGAAATGTTAAATCTGGCTTTGGTAAATCACTAACACCATATTTAAGACTGAGTCAGTAATAATAACTGGGATAAAGCTAAACAAAGAATTCATTGAAAACAATCACTAGGTGTCTTGACAGCAGCTGAGTGGCAGAAGCTGGAGGAATCTTATATTAGCCTGATTTGCTTCTTCTACTAAGATACTGAAGTTGCACAGTAAATACAATTGTCTTCACTTTTACCATAGGAACAACTTACATTGGTAACATGGCACATCCCCTATCATGAGACAAGTGGTCACAGTGGTCACACACTTAATGAATGAACAAAGCTTCCCTCTATGTTTAGGATTGTGGTCCCATAACGCTAGAAAGAACTAAGTACCTTCAAAATCTTGTAATAGCAAAAGAAAACATGAATGAATCACTGTTAAATCAATGATAAAATTGTGAGCAAGTCTAACAAGGAAAATTTCATGAATGAACAATAAAAATAGTCAATTTTTGTTATTTTTATAATTATCAAACATGACTTCACAATTTTATATTAAGAGAAAGAGAGAGAGGCCAGAAGGGTCATGGTCCTAGAGGCAGTGTTCTCCCCTGGAGGGTTAAGCCAGCCCAGAAGCTGAGTCAGAGAGTCGCCACGATTCTCCCACTCCAGACAGACGGAGGTTAAGATCATTCCTGGTAAGCCAGCTGGTGGGCTACAGCAGATTATTAGAAATGGGCTAGTCCAGGTGCGAGAGCTAGCCTAGAAGAGGCTAGATAGAAATGGGCCAAGCGGTGTTTAAAAGAACACAGTTTCCGTGTAATTATTTCGGGTAAAGCTAGCCTTGCGGGCAGCAGGGTGCTGGGGACGCAGCCCCGCCGCTCTTATTACAACACTCCCCCTCCTAGACAAGGGTTCCGGGGTTGAACTCAGCTCACAGGCCTGTGCAGCCACAGCTATAGCAGCTCAGCCATCTCCCAAATCCCATGGAAAAGTTTTAAGAAATTGTGAGACTGTTCGAAGTGAGATATTTAGGAGTTCACTGTATTTGATTTTCTCATGAAACATAAAAATTCAGTGTGTTATAAATAAATAACATGGTGCAAAAATGGAGAAACTAAGTAATATCCTTAAATTGAAACAAAAACTAGAAAATTTAATAATGCTAAAGATTTATTTTAATTAAAAACTTACCTTCTCTTTTCTCTGCCATGCACCTATTCAATTCTTGTATTGTTGTTTTATCAATAGACATATGTACTTTAAGATCATCCAATTCATCTTGAAGATTCATCCTATGAAAAATTCAAAAAATTAATAATTACATAAAATGTGTAAGTTAAGGAAGGTTATAGTAAAATAATCAGCAAAGACAATGGAAGAATAGAAAACATTAACATAAAATCAAAAATATAGTAATTATATGTATTCAATTACATTTTTCAGCATACAAATAGATTTTTATGAGGGTATCTTTTATTATGTACTATGAACTTCAATGAACTTCATTACAATAAACATACCTATGTGTGTGTGTGTGCACGCATGTGTGTGTGTATACATGTGTGCATGTTTGTTGGAAGACTGACCCTGTGTGTAGCCTAAGATAGCTTTAAAGTCAAAATTTTGCCTTGGCCTCTTGTGTGCTGGGATTATAGGCATATGTCATCATAATCAGCTAAAGAACTCCTATGTGTATGTAGGGTGTGTGTGTGGGGGGGTCTAAGTATGTATAGGGCAAAAAATGAAGAACAGAGACAAGAGGGAGAAAAGTGTCGAGGAAAGGAGAGAGGGTAATTGGACTGCGGTAGTTTGAATGTAATCCCATAGACAGTGGCACTATTAGGAGGTGTGACTTTGTTGCAGTGAACATGGAATTGTTGGAGGAAGTGTGTCACTGTAGGGATGGGCTTTGAGGTTTCTTATGCTCAGGATACTACTCAGTGTCTTTGCAGATTTCCTGCTGCCTTCCTGGCAAGATGTAGCCAGAAACCGTATATGCCTGTGTGCTGTTACGTTTCTCTCCATGAATCGCTAAAAATGCCTCAATTAAATATATATTGTTTTGGAAGAGTTTCCGTAGTCATGGTGTATCATCATAGCAATAAACACCCAAACTAAGGCAGAAGTTGGTACCAGGAGTGGAGGATTACTGTGATAGGCCTGATCATGTTTTTGTTTGGAGTGAGATGGACTTTGGGAGTTTGAGTTAAGAAAGCAGTAGAGGGGCTGGAGAGATGGTTCAGCAGTTAAGAGCATTGCCTGCTCTTCCAAAGGTCCTGAGTTCAATTCCCAGCAACCACATGGTGGCTCACAACCATCTGTAATGGGGTCTGGTGCGCTCTTCTGGCCTGAAGGCATACACACAGACAGAATATTGTATACATAATAAATAATAAATAAATATTTTTAAAAAAGCAGTAGAATGCTTTAAGCACTGCTTAATGGAACATACTAGTAGGAGCATGGAAGATAATGGTGCTGATAATTATTTGAAATGTCAGGAGCTGGCCCAAGAGTTTTCAGAGATGAATTTCACTATGTTGCCTAGAAATCATTTTTGTGATATTTTAGTGAAAGAAGTGGCTCTGCCTTTTACCTCTGTCTGAAGAGTCTGCCCGAGGCTAAAGTGAAGAGTTTCAGATTAATTCTGTTGGCAGAAGAATTCTCAAAGCAGCCAAGTTTAGACTCTGTCTTGTAAATATTCGTGGTAACTCTAATGAAGATTTATAATAAAAGGAGCAAGCTGAGCAAGGAAAAATATTTGAAGACAAAAAGGGCACCATACAGTGGAACTGAGATAAATGCTCTGTTCAAGGAGATAAAAGGATTAAATAATGGAATAAAAAGAATCGTGACCTCAGGCAATGGTGGCACACACCTTTAATCTTAACACTCCAGAGGCAGGTAGAGGCAGACAGATCTCTGTGAGTTCAAGTCCAGCCTGGTCTGCAAGCTAGTTTCAAATCAGCCAAGTTTAAGCAGTAAAAGGCAGAAAGCTGGCGGGTTTTGGTTTCCCAGTTAAGGAGAGAAGAAGAGAATTAAGATCCTGGGATTCTTGTTTGCTGTAGCTGTAGAATCACCTGGGATTAACAGAATACAGGAACAACTAAAGCAAAATCTTGCTTTCATACGATAACTGATGTTGATTGGCTGAAGCCAAGAAATTAGCAGTGACTAAGAAGAGACTAGTATCACTGAGGTGAAATCTTCTGGAAGGTGTTACATTCCAGAGGTGGCCAAGGTTGCACCTCATGCTGGAGAGAGGACTTTGTAATGTGCCACCCAGGTGGTACCGGTTTCGAAGGCATGAACAGGTCACAGAGAGTAGCTGAGGTCTGACATTGTGAGAGGCTAGGAAAGGCCATTGGTGAAGGTGCAGCCTCAGTGGCAGCTGAAGGCCCAGGACTGAAGGGCTTATGAAAAGAAGTTGAGGCTTGGCACCTTAAGGAGAGCCTATGAGAGGCTATTGGTGAACGAGCAGTCTAGTTGCAGCAGAAGACCCCAGTGTTTTGGAAATGCCAGTACCATGGAATGACCAAGAACACCAGTAGAAGTGGAGTGGAGCCTGCCAGAGCCTAAAAAGTGAGTTGTGTATACTGAAGTGGACAGAGCCAGAGAAGGAACTCAAGCTCTTTGGAGGAGTCGAAAAGATTGTAAATATATCCCAGATATTGGATGGTTAGAATTCTGTAATTAACCAAGATGTTAAAGATGCCAGAGTTGTGTGATATCTGCCAAGAAGAGCTGCTAACAGGGAGTGGAACAAGCCCAAGAGAAAGAAGTGTGTTGCAGTCAACAAAGCTAACTAGAGATGTGGGGAATGTTTTGACATCAGACACAGAAATGCAGAGCTTAGAGTTTGCTCAATTGGTTTTCGACCTTGCTTTCGTTCAGTATTTCCTCATTGTGCTCCTTCCCTGAATTTTGGAATGGTAATGTATATCCTGTGCCACTCTATATTAAAAGTATACGATCTGCTTTTTGATTTTAATTTTTTTTTTAAACAGGTGATTTTAGTTAAATGATTGTCTCAGAAGTAACTTTGGACTTTTAAACATTGTTGAGACTGTGATAGATTATGGGGACTTTTGAAATTGGACTAAATGCATTATGCATTCTGATATTGTTGCAAGCTTATGGGGGACAGAAAGTGGAATGTGGATTTTTGGCCCCCATAATCTCATAGGGAATGGCTCTATTAGGAGGCATGGCTTTGTTGGAGGAAGTGTGTCACTGTGGGGGTGAGTTTTGAAGTTTCATAAACTGAGGATACATCAGTGTCTCAGTCAACTTCCTGTTGCCTTCTGGGCAAGATAAAGCCATGGTACCATTTCATGTCTGCCTGCATGTTGCCATGCTCCCTGTAATGAACATTTTAAACTGTAAGCCATCACCTCAATTAAACGTTTTCTTTTTAAGAGTTGTTGTGGTCATGGTGTCTCTTCATAGCAATAACAACCCAAACTAAAACAAGGACTTATGTGACTTGAACTTGGAAAGGAAGTTAGGGCAAAGGAGAGGTAAAAGGGTCCAACAGGTGATAAGAGTAGAAGGAGGAGAAAGGAACCAGGATCAATAAAAACAATTTATGTTTGAAAATATCATAATGAAAGCTAATACTTTGCATGCTAGTTACATTTTTAAATATTATGTATCAGGGGCAGGGAGATATCTTAGTCTGTACAGTGTTTGCTGTACAATCAAGAGGATCTGAGTTCTATTACTCATACCCATGTAAGGAGTGTAAAAAGCTGTGAACTGTTACGTGTGCTTGTAACGCTTGTGCTGGGGAGGCAGCAACATGAAGATCTCTGGGGCTAACTGGCCCATCAGCCTAGTCCCAGAAAGTCCTGTCTCTATAGTAAGTCAGGGCGATCCAAGGAAAAAAACATGGTGGAAGATTAGCCCTGGAGATTATGAGAAAATCTGCTATAAGTCAAACTCAGAACTGATGCCTCCAAAGGCATTATTAAGAGAAAGTCACATAAGAATACCATCACATAGTATCAAAAAAGATAATAATCCCAACAAAACATAATTCTCAACACAGAAGTATGAGGGATAAAATGAAGAAAACACCAACAGTTAACTGAAATAAGGATGGCTGCACAGGATCTGAAAGAGGCAGGAAAGAAGTCAGGGAGGGGATGAAAAGCTCTCAGGGTCATATGGAAACTTTGCAGTGCCAGCAACAGATCAGGTCAAACAGAAGAGAAAAAAAGAGAGATTGAAGACAGATCTTTTGAGTTGTTACTGTCAGAAAGAACAAAAGAGAAATAAAAAATTCTTGAAGAGAAAATACAAAAACTTGAGACACCCTTAAAATGTAAATATTCAGATCATTGGCATCCCAGAGGGAGAATTACAGGTTGGGGCAACTATGAAAAGGATAATAGGATAAAACTTTCCAAATTTTGGGGAAGACAATGGACACCCTAGTATAACAAGAACTTCAAATACACATGACCATAGATGCCATGGCATATTATAGTTAAGTTGTTAAAGTACAGGATAAAGAAGGGCACATGACAATCTGCAAGAGGGTAACAAATAAAGGCAAATACATTAGATTAATGGTAGATTTCTCAGAAAAAATTCCAAATACAAGGATGGCATGGAGTCATGTATTTTGGGTTCCAAAAGAAAATAATTGCAACAAAAATTGTTGTACCCAACAAGGTTTTGCTTCACAGTGAAAGGAGAAATAAGGACCTTCCAGAAAAAGGAAAAACCAAGGGAACTGATGGCCACTAGATCAGAATTATAAAAGATGCTCCAAGGAATCATATACCCAGATGAGAAAGAATTCTATAAATACCACCATTAAGAGCATGAATAACCTTTCCATGCCAGAGCCCACCCAGCATAACCCCAAGCACCCAAGTGACCCCTCCTCTCCTTGTCACCTTATCCCAGCCTACTGTTATGGCTGAAGTATCCTCTTCCACCAGAGGCCAGGACAGCATCCTGAAACGCAATTAAATTCCTGCCCAGCCACCAGTGCTTGCCTAGCATAACTCTAGTTCTCCCTCTTCTCTGCATCACCATGTTCTGGTCTACATCTCTGCAGATGTGCCCCATCAGAAGACAGGCCAAACTCCTGAAAACCAGAGATAAGACCAGCATCCTGGGCCTCAAAGACCAGGCCAACTCCTTGGTAACCAGGCAAAAGCCTCCTACCCCACCAGAAGTCAGGCCAGCACTCTGAACCCAGAGGACCGCTCGCTATCCAGATCAGAGGCAATGCACATTGCCAGAACTTCAGCACCCAACTTAGGCAGAAACATCCTGC